GAGAGAGAGAGAGAGAGAGAGAGAGAGAGAGAGAGAGAGAGAGAGAGAGGTGGTTAAGGGAGAAGGGAGTGACTCAATGACCGAAACGAGGACAACAGAAATTTCCGGAGGAAAAGACTCCAATCATGCTATGCCGTCTGGTTTTGACAGATCTGTACTTACCACCATCACGATGACGAGGATGATGAAGATGATGCTGATGATGAAGCTGATGCTGATGCTGATGATGATGAGGAGATTATGATAATTATGATGTGATGAGATGGCGATGATGAGGAGAAGGAGATCATGACGATGAGGAGCTGACGATGATGATGATGATGATGATGATGATGAGGATGAGGATGAGGAGGAGGAGGAGGAGGAGGATATGGTGATGATGGTGATGATGGTAATCTGCCATGGGAAACGGTGCTAAAAGGATGACTAGGAGGATGGAGAAGAGGACAAGGAGAAAGGGTAGGAAGATTGCGTGACTTCAATTCACTAGGGGAAGTCGTTTTGTTCGTTTCACACGTAAGTAGATGTTGTCCTTCCCTCGTGTACTCTCTCCTAATCTCCTTTCTCTCTCTCTCTCCTCTCTCCTTTCTCTCTCTTCTCTCTCCTATCTTCTCCCTCTCCTCTCTCCTCTCTCCTCTTATCCTTCTCTCCTCCTGCCTCTTTTCTCTACTCTCCTCTCTCCTCTGTTACTCCTCTGTTATTCTCTTTTTTTTTTTTTTTTTTGTTAACTCCTCTGTTACTCTACTCTCCCTGTTATCCCTTTTCTCTCTCTCTCCTATTCATCCAATTACAGCCACGTCACTGGTCTCTCTTTTTTTTTTTTTATGCTACTCACCTGCACGCTTTCTCTCTTTACTGCCACGTGACAGCCACGTGACTGCCACGTCAGTTGCCTCTCCCATTGAATTGCTGTGATGTTACTGCCAGTAGGGGAAGAAGGCCTTAAATTAATTAAAAATAATAAAATAAAATAAAATAAAAATGTTAATATGTTTCTAGTCTAGGCTACCAGAAAGGAACGGGACCACTTGCCCGGCCGGGCCAAAAAGGGAAAAATAACAATAATAATAATAATTTTATAAATTTTTTAAGTTTAAAATTGGTAAAGAATTTCGATGTGACCCTGAGGCAAACGTTGTTCAGTTTATTTTGCTGCATAGCGTTGTTTTTTTTTCGGACTTTTTTTTTTTTTTTTTTTTTTTTCTGGGACCTCTTATGGCTGTCTCTTATACACATCTAGATGTGTATAAGAGACAGGCTATTGACTAACGATGTTGTGTTGCAGCTGGTACACTAAGCAGAAATCATCACTGTCTTTTTTTCCGATCATAAAATGGTATATCTAGAAATCAACTAGGGGTTGCAAACCACGAACTTCAA